GCGGGGCGAGGCGAAGCTCACCGAGGTGCAGGGAGCCGAGCCAGAGCTCCGCCAGGAACTGCGGAAAGCGAGGGATGACTACAGCGTGGCCACAGGTACCTGGGGAAGGCGTCCAGAAGACACGCTGCTGCCCTAGCCCCCACGTTCACATCTTCTCACAGTTCGGCTCCTTCCACCTAGAAAAAAATCCTAGCTTAGGTTCTCACAAGCACAAAACATCCTGCTTTCCACAGTCACTTAGGGCGAGGCTGAAACGCCACTTTGTTTTGAAACCCCTTTCCCTGTAGAAGCAAAGTGCATGAGGAAACCCAGCAGAGGAAGCCCCCAGCGCTATTCCGGGGCATCCAGCAGCGTTTCAGCACTCTGGCAAATCTGTGTTTGTGCTGCCAGCCCTGCTATCCCTCACACAAGCAGGTCAGTTGAATAGATACCCCAGCAAAGTACTACAAAATGCATCACCCACCAGCATCACTGGGGCTGGAGCATTAAATTCCCCGCAGAGCCTGCGCCCTGAGGGCTACAACAGCAGCTCTGCTTACGCTTACCTGAAGGAGGGAGCCACAAAGCTTGTGGCAGGGATTTGGTTTGCTCAACAGCAGTACTCCCAACTTCACAGGTGTCATCTCTTCCTTGCAAAGACAGCTAGAGATCCAGGAATCCCAGCTTCGGAGAGCCACGTCTGAAAAGGAAACGCTCCAAAAGAAGCTCAGAGAGCAGGAAAAGCAGCTACAGGCCCTGTCTGCCAAGGTACGGCCCCGGGAGCGCGGCGGCCGTGGTCGGTAGGAGAGCTGGCAGCGGGGAGCCGGGCTTTGTGCGGCAGTTCCCTTCCTCGTAGAGAGGAGGTGCACCCGGGAACTGCAAAACTGACCCATAAAATAACTTTCTGCTGAAGTTTTGCAGCCTGAGAGAAGGAGAGAAACCCGAGGCAATGACGGCGACAATAGAGGAGAACTGCAGCCTGCGACAGGTGAATCTGGTGCAAAACTGCTACAGAAAATTCTTCTGTTAGCTGCACAGTTGTGCTTGTTTGGGGCTTGGGGGAGTTTGTCACATAAAAAAACCCTACTCAGTCCAGTAGTGTTAGAGAAAATGCCAATAATGGTTACCAGTACTGGCAGAGCTGTTAGTCTGTAAACTCTGCCCAGGAAATACAAGAAGCATTTGGACCAGCTACAGGGAAGATGCGGCCAAGCCTGCTCGCTTTCTTCCTCGCTGTAATACCCTGATTTATCCATCTCCTCAGGTCGTCGCAGAGCAAGAATCCAAACTGGCCGAGCAGAACAAGCTGATCAGCGAGTTAGAGGGGACAGTCAGGCAGCTGCAGGCAGAGGTGCTGAGGGGCCGATACCGCATCCACGAGCAGCAACGCGCCCAGCAGGCGACACAGAGCCAAGTTGAGATGCTGCAGCACAGGGAGCTGCAAGCCAGGGTGGCACTGGAGCGTGTCAGCAGCAGGGTAAGCACTCCTCCTGCCTCCCTCCTGGGAGACACTTCAACCACGGCAGCAGAGAATCTGGGAGCTTTGAAACATTCTTGGGCAAAGCACAGCGGGAGGTGTTCCAGGGCACTGCAGGCCTTTGCTCTCAGGACCCGGCTTCCCTTGGCAGCCACAGGGCCAGCAGAGCAGAAACTCAGGCCATTGGCTTCCCAGCTCTCACGTCACTTGCAAAGCAAAGGGGCCTCAAATACCAGAAACCCTTGAGAAATTCAGAGTTTCATCACCAGATTTCTAATACCCTTCCAGGCTCAAAGTAACAGGTGTCCCCTGAAAAGCACTTTCTGCCTGGTAGTGAGCACTGAGCCTGCTACCAGGGGGAGGGACTCGGTCCACTCAGAAACACATCATTATCCCAGCGCTCACAGCAGAGCCCAAACTGCCCGTAATTTCCCCTAAGCAGACTTCCCATTTCACCATTCACTAGTGCAGTCTCTGTAACTAAACACCTAAGACTAAACACACCTACTTTCCCCTTTTATCAAAAGTTTGAAAGATACCGAAGCAAAATCCTTCAGGCCACGTTCAGCACGGGAGGCAGCAAGGCTCCGCAGGCAGAGCTGGCGGACGAGGAGGTGCTGGAGGCGATGCAGGTACGCGGCGCGCGGGCAGCCGGTGGCAGGGCCGAGGGGGAGCGAGAACGCTCCGCAGCGCTGCTTCCGTCTGACGCCTTCCCGCCTCCGCTCGCATTCCAGAAAATCATTAACGAACGGCTGGAGTTCCTTCAGATGCTGAGACAGAAGGGCATCAAGGTCCCATCGCTCTACAGCATCGACGCGACTTTATCACCTGCCAGCGCGAGGGAGAGGAGGAAGAGCCCTGCGAGGTAGGAGCCTGAGGCACTGCAGCAGCCTCAGGCCCCTGCTCCTTGGTTTTGAGTCTTACTAACAAATTAAACTCATTTGACTGAAATCGAGTCCTGCAGGAATATCTGATTCGGTTGTTTCCGCCACCTCAGAGCACAACTGACTGTAACTCACCGCAGAAACAGCCGCGCTCGGAGGGAGGCCCGAGCACTGCGTCGTGTTACCGTTTTTGCAGCACACGATGGCTGCTTTGGCGAGTTTGTGTCGTTACACGACCGGCAAACTCACCAATGCCAGAACAAGGGACAGCGACATGTGACCGCAAGAACTCTTTTTATTTTTCCATTCAACACCCAAGTCCCAACACGTATTTGACACGGTAGCTAGAAGTGCAGTTAGAGCTCTGTATTTTTTAACAGGAAAAAAAGTCAGTCTGTAGGTCACCCCAGCTTACGGAGAGGTTCGCATTCACACAGGTAGGAGCCCGGATGTGAAAGTCACCCGGACTGCAACAGCTAGAACCACTCAGACTACCTGTATTTTGGAAGGTGTCCCCAACGCTCTTCACGTGGGAGCGTGACAGAAAGCTCCAGGAGGGTCACTCTGGGCGAGATCCTCGTGTTCGGGGAGTCGGGGAGCTTCAGCGGTGTCGATGGAAGGCAGCGTCAGCCCTCTGCACGGAGCGGAACTTCGGGAGCAGGAACAACCCCCCGTCCTCCATCAGCACCGATCAGCGGGGGCACAACAAGGGCACCACAGCTGGTGCTCCCACGAGGACGAGCGACGGCTCCGAAACGCACTGGGACACGCAAACCCCTGCACTCAATTCAACTGCTTTAAAAATGGAAGCTGTGTTAATGCCTGAACAGAGAAACCATCACTTTATAACCCGCTCCTCAAGTTCTGACAGCCTCTGAATTGTCACAATCACTCCAGATATAAAAATAAAATTGGGCAGGAGGAGACGTCAGCGCAGCGGCTTTGCGTTCTGTCCTCAGGACTGGCACACAGCTGGGACTGCGGTTCAGTGCTGTCACCTGCTGGATTTCCCAGTTTAGCTGCCAAAATAATCATCCAGCTGAAACACGCCAGGAAGAACCAGTGACCTCGCAGGAAAAAAGACAACTGCGCTCATTTTATAAACGCTACAATGGCACAACGATTTTCCCTACAAGCTAACGCCTTCTGACTTCCAGCACCACCTCTGCCCCTCAGTCGGCTTTTGAAGATGCTGTTCTCTGTCAGAACACCGATGACTTTCTATTAAGGCTGAAAGAATACGATAATCCTTGCCGTAGCTCGATCAAACCTGAAAGATTTTACAGACCCAGGCAGGAGGCACCGCATCTTTTCTTTTAAAAAACCCACAAACCGCCTCGCTGCGTACAAGTTGCGTTGTTGAATATGGAGGGGGAAAAAAAAAAAAAAGGAACCACTGTCTTAGCTTTGATAGCTGCTAGCGTATTACAGTCAGAAGAGAGGACACTGTGGCCAGGTCAGTTTTTGAGGGATAAAGTACTTTCAAGTTTCCATCTGTGTCCACCACCCGAACCTGCTCCACTACCAAGGGAAGATTCATCGCCTGCACGTTCTGGCTGGGGTTCAGATTCACTCGTCCACAAAGAGCATCAGATTCATCATCCGAGCCCGAGTCTTCCTTATTTTCCAAGGTAAATCTGTTCAGTTCTGCAATTTTCTGTTAAAAGCAAAACAGAAAACAAGATTAATTCTGCAGCTAAGGCCTCACAGCAACCCCAGGTTGCTTCCGAGGTGCAGATCTGGCCAGCATCTGCTGGAATATCTGCACGAAAACTTCTGCAGTGGGTCAGAACCTCCCAGGAAACAGAAAGGGGTTTTGATGTTATCACTGCTCTGCTCTCCAGGAGGGCCCGCTCCTCCGAACAGTTTAATTTTTCACATTTAACACAGAACTCGGCCTCTCTCAAAGATCATCACCGAGTTTGCTTTTGGTGCACCTGAAATTGTCTCCATTAGCAGCTGGTATCAACCACACAAACCAGCCTTCACCAACGTGTTCTAAGGGTCATGTGAACTGGATGAGGAAAAAATACATTTATCTTGAAAAATATTTAACAGCAAACTATCCTGTACTTGCCAAATCCCAAGTTTTAACCTTTCAGTAAGAAAGCTTTAATGAAAAGGAAGCGTGTTGACGAGCATTTAATGTGGCTGTCCTGCCACTAGTACGTATCTGAGAGGTAATTCTTTGATAAAAACAGACCAGGCAAGGCCGAGGTGAGAAATCTCCCCAAAAGAATTTATTGGCAGCAGCTCAAGCCATGAGCTCACTAACAAGGGGAAGGTGTTCAAAGTCAAACCGTGCATCTCCACTTGTGGTAACACAATGTTATTTACCCTGGTGAGCTTTGAGGTCTGACGGTTAGTCAGGTTATAAAAGAATATAAAAACCTTTTGTGACACAGCAAGAATGGAGGAGTAAGTGAAGGGGAGGGAATGATAATAGTGCTCAAATAAAAACTGACTTCTGTACTCTTCTCAATACACGTGAGTGATTAACCATTTTGTTAAGATGCATGGCAAGAACAGAGGATTATCTTCCTGAACTACTTACCAGGATCAGTGCGTCCATGACATCTTTGCATATCTGTAAACTGGTATCACTTGTCACTTCCAGAAACAGATCACGGGTTTCTTTTCTAATCTGTAAGAATTTCACAGGTAAAGCACGTAAGGGATCGGAGCGCACTCACCCACAGGCTCTCAGCACCGTTTTGGTACACAAGCTGCAGGAAGGGCTTTCATTCACTTCCACCAGAGGCAAAGTTCTGCCTTCCTTGACAGAAAGTCAGAAGCCACCTCTGCAAAGGCAGGCGGGTGCCTTTGGAACAGCTTGCCAAAGCCTGGCAGATTTACCAAGGTGAAAAATACAACGTCAAGATCCATCTCAATCTGACAACCCAGCAGAGAAGGTTCAGGCTTTGAAGATTTATATTTGGAACGCGATCACAAGTTTCACAGAACCGTGCCTATCTTTGGATCTGGAGCTAAGCCTCTCTCTGTGGAAAGTGACACTGTTTAATTCTGATTAATTCCTCTAAGGGAGTACCTTTGTCTTCTCACTATTGGTTATCGGAGGGAAAGAAATCACCACGCCTTCGGCATCCACGAGACAGGGGTAGTTATCTTTGCCATCCAATAACTGCAGGTACCTGCCAAGAAAAGCAAAGGAGCAAAAAGTGAGCAACTGAAACAGCAGCTGGACACAACGGCAGAAAACAGTGACAAAAGCCAGCGCCACGCTCCGCCTCAGAGCTCACCCACGGCAGATTTACCGCGCCCCCGATTCACACGGCGCGCTGACATTCATCCCTCTTTGTTTCCCTTCTGTTTGCTATTCTAAATGTCTCTGTCACCTCTAAGAATAATTCAGATGACAAGAACTTACTCTTGGCACAGCCAGAGGTAATGGCAGGCGCTCATCACCTCATTTCACCCCAGGTACTCTGTGTGTAAATGCAGCTCGGTGTTTTTCGCCGCAGGTGCCCAAGCTCGCGCGGGGTTTCCAGCCCCGCCACCCTCACAGAACACCCCTCCCAATAACGTTCAAGCACCTTCTCGTCAGCGCTGCCTTTCCATACCAGTTACCAAAATTCACGTGAAAAAAACCCACAAAAGACCAGCGTACTGACTTGTGCAATCCAGAAACGTTCTGACGCTTCTTCTGCTTCCTCTGCTCCTCAGCCTCTGACTGCAGCTGACGGAGAAGATCCTTTGCCTTGATCTCCTTTCGACCCAGGGGCATTATCTACTCCATACGAGAAAAGAAACATTGGGATTTAAGAGTGGCTCAAACGCTGGGGTTATTAAAACTCTCCTGTAAGCCAGTCAATAGTAACAACCACACTTCTGTGTGCCACCGGTCCTAACGCCTTTTTCAGTGTGGCCACGCACTTTCTACTTAACATGGACCACGATGATTACACAGAGTTTAAAACTTGGCGTGAGCTACAACACCCACGTGAAAAACAGGCTCATCCACTAGTACCCAACCAGTCCCAGACAGCTTCTTAGCCGGTTCCTTCGCTGTCACTACTTGCTGAATAACACGAAAACCTGCTGCCCCGTCACAGAAGCCTGTAGGAAAGGCTCTGGGAGCCAGCAGGAAAAGGGAGAACTCGTCCCCGAGGACCAGGCCACGTGCACAGACAGTTAGAGACACGAGGTGTCTAGAGAGCAGAATACACCAAAAACTTGGGGTCAGCCCCAGAGAGGGTCCCAACTGCTCTCGGAGGGCCTCTGGAGGGAGGATAATTAACAGACATGCTGAAATAGGCCTAAATAAATAAGGATGACAAATTTGAAATAAAATTTTTATATTCTGGATTGAAGTTACAAGTACAGTCTAAGAGCTTGTCACACAGATGTACTGTGAGCTTTTTTTATTTATTATTTCCCTTCTTTGAAAGCAGCAACATCGGTAACCTGAGACTGGGTCAATCAGCAGACCCTGCTCTGATTTAATGAGGTTACCCTGAAGGCTGCTGCCGTTTCAGGTGCGCCAACAAGCACCTGCTTTGCTGCACGACACTCCACGCACATCCCAACCAACAGGGACCTCCAGGGAACATTAAGGTGGTAACACCACAACAAGGGAGAAAGGATCAACACCGAAACTCCGACACCTCGGTCACCTTAGGCAAAGGCACATGTTAAGCGAGATCACAATGGTTTTAGAGGGGGAAAAAAAGTCTACAACTGCTTTCCCTGATGAAGTCCTCAGACTCAGCACTCTTAACTGGTCCTGGAGCAGCAGCAAGGCTTGTCCAAGCAGGCCTTGGTACAGCAGGATAGCAAGGAAATGAGTAGAGATTCTAAACTAAAGTTCCTGTAATTAGTTTCCTTGGATCTACAGGGAAAGAAAATTTTCTCCATTCCATACAGATCCAGAAAACAAAAAGGAAAAAAAGTGGAAAGGCCCCCGATGCCACCGGCCCTACCTTCAGCTCGTCAGGAGGCTGAACACTGTATGTCAGAGGGCCCCTGACCAGCTGCAAGTCGTGGGTGGCAATTGTGGCTGCTGTCCGCTTTTCACAGATGTCTTCATGCAGTTTAGTCTGAAACACAAAGGATGCCATCAGAATACATCAAAAACATCAACAGGATTTATTCCTCCTGGGGTTCAGCATTTTATGTAGCATTATCAGCTAGCTGAGCGACCCTTCTGTGCTAACTGGACCCTTCTCTTTGCCTGCAAAAGTATTTTATCTGAATTACAACCCAAACGCAAAGATAGCAAAGCTCAGCACACAACCTATTTCCCAAGATGCAGACGAACAGTTTCAGATCAGAAACCAATCCCAAACGCGCGTCCCACAATCCGAGGGAAGCCAACGCCGCTGCCCGAGGGACGGGCGAGCGGCCTGGCAGGAGAAGGCTGGTGACGCCTCGGCTGGAGGCCTGGGCTGGGATCAGGGAACCTGGAGCCAAACCAGGCTGCGTCTGGCGTGGACGCGGGTTTAGGAGCAGTCCTCGTCCCGCAGCACTCACAAGCTGGTGGTGCAGCGGCACCATCGCAGGCGCCTGCGCGCTCATCGCCCTCTCACGGCAAAATCTGAGCTCGTTCGGGTTCTTTGGGAAAACCAGTTCTGCTGGTGACGGCCCGAGCAGGCGGCAGGTCGCGGGCAGGGGCCACGCCGCGCCGCCGTCCCCTCAGCCAAGAGCTCACCCCAAATTTCAGAAAATTATCTGCTGGCTGGAGCCCAGCCCATTTCCAACTCTCCCACGGCAAACGATCGACAGCAGTTACCTGCGCGGACAGGAACCTCTTCAGAGCACTTCCCGGCTTGAGGTTGACTCCCTTCAGCACGCAGCACACAATGAAGGCTCGGACGTCTCTGACGCCCGGGCTCACTTTCACCACCAAAGGCGCCGGGTTTTCGGAGACATGCAGAATCTTCACCAGCAGCTTGCTCGCCTCCTCCACCTCGTCCTGCTCCCCATCGTCCTTCTTCTGCTGCTTCTCTCTCTTCTTCTTCCTGGCCTCCTCCCTGGAGCTCTCGCCCTTCCCCTTCCCGCGGCCGCCAGCCCGCAGGTACTCCAGGATGGCCTTCGTCTGGCAGCCGTTGACCATCTTCTCCAACCGCTTGTCCTTCAGCTGGTTGCCCTTGAAGTTGGCTTCCTTCAGCCGGGGGCAGTCGGCCAGCGCGGCGGGCAGCTCCTTCAGCTGGTTGTTGGCCACGTCCAGGCTCTGGAAGAGAAAGACGGAGAGGTGAGGGGACGGGGTGGCGAGGCTGTGAGGGGACGAGGGGACGTGGGGATGGACGAGGGGACGTGGGGACGGATGAGGGGACGTGGGGACGGACGAGGGGACGTGGGGATGGACGAGGGGACATGAGGGGAGGAAGGCGCGAGGGGACGGGGCCCGCTCCCACCTTGAGGGCCGTGAGGGCGGCGATGCCGGCACCCAGCTCCTCCACCTCGTTGTCGGCCGCCTCCAGGCGGCTGAGGCTGTCTCTTATAC